ATTCCAAAAAGGATTTGTTTTTTGGTATTACGAAATTATTGTTATTAAATATGTTAGTGTATATTGTACGTTATAATGAATATATGTATTATGTAGCAAGTTAATAATTTTAAATGGCGATTTGTGCTCTATAACTTATTTTATAGCATTATATTATTCTAATTCCCTTTTAATTCATTATCCAATTGGATCATCCTTTCCTTTTATCTTATTTATCTCTACAATGTGAAGTTTCCACTATGTTTTTCTTTAAAGCTAATAAAACTAATATTATACCCGTACATGTTCATTTTCAGGTAGAATAGGATCGACCTGATTATATAATACTAGCGACTCACCTTCGCTTCGCTCGGGTTCGTCCCTAGGAGGATTCCCCATACAGATGAGATGATTGATGATTTCTGATAAATATCCTATGTTCTTCCCAGGGTCTCAAACTATCTTTTTACCATATTTCATCTAAATCGGTACAGCAGATCCAGAGATTACCCCCTACAACGTCACAAAATCACAATTCACAAACTCACGAACTTTACCTCTTTATAATTTTAGTATATAGTATTATTAGAAAGTCTGTGAGTGACATAGACTAATAATTATCCGGATAAGTGAAGTGGTTCATTTTAGAGATTAGTATGTATAATGCAAAGATTTAATGAAGAACGTTCAAGATATTTTAAGCCCTCACGAAGCGGACAGTCAATATACTACTGTTATACTGTACAAAAGACATCAACGAGCAAAGAAAAATGTCTTAAAGAATATTGAGACTGTGTCTTAATCGTAAAAAAAATTTTTGCTGCTCAAATTTTTGAAGTTATACTTCTTTTCGATAATAGCATATTTTAAGTGCTAAGAAGCTTATGAGTGGATACCAACTTATTATGTATTATGACATTATTAACTGCCTCGGTGGTGTCGTGGCTAGCAAGTACGGCTGCACACCCGGAGGTCCTGGGTTCGAGTCCCGGGTCGGGCCAAATTTAGTTATTGAGTCTTTCTGTAAAGCCTCAGTTGGGAAGTTGGCGGTGTTTCACCCCCGTGCCTCGGAGAGCACGTAAAGCCGTCGGTCCTGCGCCTTAACTCTCACTGGTCGTGTCGAGTGGTCGTCCCACCAGAATATGAGAGTGACAGGAATAGAGAGTGCATGTTGTGTCTGCGCGTACACTTGTGCACTATAATATCTCCTGCGCAGTTGGCTAGTCTCAATGAGATTGGCCGCTGTGGCCGGAAACGGTCGGGAGAACATCATTATGTATTATACATATTTTGATGGTTTTTTTATTTATTTTATATGATTTATAAAGTAAATATTTAAATAGTTACCTATAGATTTTAAAAATAAAAGACATTTGAAATCTAGTTTTACGACAAATTATTGTATGTATTATACAATCTTCATGTTAAGGGTAAATTCATATTGATACAAAGCATGCCCACAAACATTTTTACGATGCCTTTTAAAGAGAGTTGTGACATACATACATACATATAGGTGGGTTTAACGGTTAGCATGGAATAGATGGACAATATATTAGTATGTATACATACGTACGATGAGTTATTGTGGGTTGTATTATAACATGTGGATCCCGTGGATATGAGAATTAATCTGCCTATGTCTGATTGTATTGAACTGAACTGCAATTTCCAGTTGACAATCTGCACACCACAAATAGACCTTAGGATAAAAATTACTTAATTTATATATTTTTTAACCCCCGACGCAAAAAGAGGGGATGTTATAATAAGTTTGACGTCGATGTCTGTCTGTGCGTGTGTGTGTGCCTGTCTGTGGCATCGTAGCTCTCAAACGGATGGACCGATTTCAATGCGGTATTTTTTCATTTGAAAGCTAGTTTCCTTGCGGCGGTTCTTATCTTTGTTTGGTTTATGTCGGTCCAGCAGTGTAAGAGTATCAGCTCTTTTCCAAAATGATGTAAGGCATTTTGGCAAATGATTACTCGATTAAGTGATCCACGCATGTCAGTGTAATCGTTTAACGACAATTAATTTGCGTAGAAGGTTTTTTTTTTAATTTATTGTACACACTATTGGCATCATTAAAAAATAAAATAAACATATTTTATTTTTTTTGTTTTTTAAAAAAATATATATTTATAACGTATATATTAGACACCTTTTAGTCTATTCATAACTAACTATAAGGAATGGTCTCAAGTGCGTAAATCAATAACATCATATTATGGTATATCGTCACGCTACTTTCATAAATACAAATATTATAGGTTTTACATTTTCAATGCCTTGGTAAATTAACAACTTTGACCATCATCCGGTATAATTGCATAATCAGTTAATAAGATCACAACTTCGATTCCTACAATGCATTATAATTATAATCGTAATATAGGAAAAATCTGTTTGCTTCATTATTCTATACGTTAAAATAAGATCGATAATATATTTTTAGTCAGATAGTTGAGTTTACCAGATTGTTATCTGCCTCAGTTTTCCGTGTTAAATCGCCATTAAATGGCTGACATGGCTGGCATGATTTGACTGATTATTTTTATCCATTATCACGATACGTCTAATATATTTCAACATATAATTTAAACAAACTACTCCTTTTTATGTACAATGTGACTCAACATTGTTCAAAGAATTGCATTCAAATTCTTAATTTATTTTATACTAGTAGGACCCGCGGCTTAAGGTAGTTTTCATACAATTTTCTATTTTCATATAATTTATCCCCTATTTTACCCCCTTATAGGATGAATTTCGAAAAATGCTAAAACACGCATTTAATAATTTGTACTGAAGAATATTAATACCAGGTTTCAAATAATTCTGATCACATAATTTTGCTTTCCCGTGGGAATAAAATTATCTCCAGCAGTAAAAATTCACTCTGTTTCGACGTGAAAAAAAGGACAAACAAACAAACTATCACACTTTCACATTTATAATTTTAGTAAGTGTGGATATATTTATTAAAAAAATAATTGAACAAACTAAAATACAAATTGTATGGGTGCGACAATGTTTAAAATGTTCCATAGTTATACCGTAACATGTACTGTAGAAATTACAGCAATCGTGGTTTGGACCGTCAAAAGACAGTAAGCGACAATTACTTAATATCGATAAGAATCGACAAGTGTTATATTATACGCAGTATGCACGCACAATCTTTATAATTCAGGTCATATTCTCGTTTCATTGTTAACTAATAGAGAACGAGAGTGCTAGAACTTTGTTAACGTTTTTTTTGCTATTATAATTTGTTCAGTATGAAAAGTATGGCCTGATTTAAATTTTTTATAGTTTATAATGATAATGTGGCTGATGGCGATACTAAAATTTTTGTTAACTTATGTTTCATTAATGCAATACTTTAATACAATAAACATCCTACTAATATTATACAAATGCGAAAGTTTGTGAGAATGTATGGATTTTGTTACTCTTTCTCGCAAAAAGTACTGAATGGATTTTTATGAAACTTTACAATAATATAGCTCATATATCAGAATGGCACATATGATACTTTTTATACTAGAAAAATGTACGGTTCCCGCGGGAAAGATTTGTTTTTGATTTTCTAGAGGCGAACATAAGCGAAGCGAGTTTAAGCCACTAGTTTATAAATAAACTAGCATGGCCTGCGGCTCCGCCCGCGTTCCGATGACCAAAAAACAAATTCTTTGGTTTTACATATTAGTATAATCTTACATTGCAGTTTTTGTATTTTTTCTCAGAAATGAGATATTTTCCCACGTTAAAAAGTATCCTACATGTTGACCCGGATAACCAGCTATCACCGTACTAAATTTCATCAATATCTGTCCAGTGGTTTTCTCGTGATGCGGTAACAGACAGACAGACATACAGACAGATAAAATTCTAAAAACTATAGATTCGGCCTCTGTATCAATAATAAAGTCTTTTTCAATAAGATTTTTCAAAAAATATTTAATGTACAGATTCGGCTTAGTTACAATTTTATTATATGTATAGATTTAAAAAAAATAAGTAGCATACTTATTTTTCATAATGTATACTTATAATGCTTGTTATTACATGCTGATATATAATATGTATGTACATACAAATGTGATATGTACATTAAAAGCTACCGTATATTAATATAAGTCGACGCCGATGTGGAACAGAATGCATTTACGTTACAATTCACTTTCAGCGAACGAGAGTGAGTGTAGATTCATTCATGTTTTATTTTGCTTAGCGAATGTTACAATTAAGATTGTTGTGAATGTTACAATTAAGATTGGTTGTTTTTTTTCATCACATTAGCTTCTGCTAATTCTAAAATATTCGAGCATCTTTTTTGTTAGACATTTCATAAAATTACAATTGAATGTATAATGCATCAATTATATAGGTTTATAAAGATCTTTATAAACCTATATAATAGCAAATCATATAGGTTTATAAAGATTGATCAGAATTGTACCTACTTTCTTTTAAATTAATCATTATAGTACTTTTTTTCAAAGTATATATAATTTGATGCCCTTAAAAGAAAGAATGTTTTATTATATTTATAGAAAACAAAAACAAACCTATCCCACGGGAACCGTACATTTTTCCGGGATAAAAAGGTGTTAATATGGTGTTATTCCAGACTGTATTACATCCCTGTGCTAAATTTCATCCAGATCCGTTCAGCCGTTCTAGCGTGAAAGAGTATCAAACATCGATACATCCATACAAACATTCGCATTTATAATATTAGTAAGAATATATGTATATACAAAAATTTTGAATCTTGTCAAGTTATTTACACTGTATAAAAATTTCACTAAACTATCAAATTAAAACATATTTTCACTGTAATAATGGACCTTTAAGTGATTTTGCAATACAAGTTCTTTTGAACCTTCTGCTATAGCTTTCAGGTTTCATTTCCAATAGCATATTGAAAATTTATGTAAAATTTTAGCTAAGACACGAGCTGACGCATTTTGAATCTTCTATGTAAAGTTTTAAGGTGCGTTTTCTTTTAGTGCATGGGTGCATGCGGATTAGATCGAAGGCACCGAGGGGCAGTGTCGCGAAACGCTACCACGTTGCGATATAAAAGGAAGTTAAGTTTAAATTTCTTTATCACACACCGGCTAACTGTACCAGAGATTGGTCTTCATTCCTCCAAGATGTCCGCACGATTTTTGGTGAGTGAATGTGACACCTTTTAATTAGATGAGTCTATTAATTTATAAAGTGCTCGTGTGTATGTTTTTATGTCACTTTAAAAGAGTTTGAAATTTAAATTGACACAATTACTATTTAACTATAGTGTCTATGAAATGAGGATGTTAATTTCGATTATGAACTATCTCTTCTATTATCGATATTATTACTTTACCTATATTTTCCATTAATAATATAAAAAGCTAAAACGCTAGAAAAGTGTCCATCGTATATAAGACCACTTGGTAACTCTCCTATCATACTAATAGATGAAATTAATATAAATCCATGAGCTAGTTGATTGTTTATAAATTATTAGTTCTTTTCCAATTTTTAAATGAGTAACAAAAGTTTTTGCAAAGTTGTAATGAATTGGTTAAAAATACTGTAAAAACCGGAACAAAATTCAGCATATAAGAAAACAGTTTTTTTTAATTAAAAAATTAGGCTTTTGATACTTAGTATCATTTTAATCCATAATAACGTATCAAAAGTTGTTTTTATAAATTGTGATATATCAAAAAAACTACGTCTGCGGGCTGCTTATTCAATACTTTTTCCTTTTTCTTTTAGTTGTTGAATACGTCTGTAACAAAAACATAAATAAAATGAGAGTGAGAGGCTAAACATGGTTCTGAAGGCTTTTTTGTTTTTTGTTTGAAAGCGAATCATTTTGTTACAACATCAAAATCGAGCTACGTTAAATTACTGAGACGACAGTCGGTCCGCTTACATGAGGACATTCTATTGTACATTTAGAAAGTTTATGTGTAATTGTAAATTTGTATCAGGATATGGAAAAATATCTTAATATTTATATTATCTTATTTTAGTTTCCTTCAAAGCTCGCACTTGCGAAATGTAAACTGCAAACTAATTGGTAGCGAAAAAATTAACTTACTTAGATAAGCTTTGCGATAGTTTTTATTACCATATTTTATATGCCTAACTTCTCTTAACGACTCTAGCCTTAGGATTAGAACTCCACAAGTAGTCAACCGACTGATATAAATCTTAGCCATATTTAAGTCGGCTATGTAAAACCCTTATTATAATCTGCACACCCATTTTCAAGTGACACAGACAGACTGACACATAGATAAAATCTCTGAAAATAATTTCCATAATGACATAGTTAGGTGTGTGGATTAATTTCGGACGTAATAATTAATAAATTACCTTAAAAATTTTCTAATATGCGCTTGCTCGCGGTCGTTAAATTGTTTAAATAATACGGAAGAGACATATGAAGGAAAACACTTCCTTGCATATAAGTCTACAGATTGTCCGCAATTTGTAAGGTATTAAGACAAATTATTATATTTTATGCATAATAACAAGTTAAATAACTTTTATGGTAATTCCTAAAAACCAATATTATTCATTTCATTATTAAAAATTATTTAATTTTTTTTTAATTAAATAAAATATACTTTTCTTATAACGAATAGGTCACATCAATTGATGATTGCATTATAACTAACTAATATCAAAAACACATAAAACTGCGAGCTATAACCATTTCTAAGTAAATTAAGTAGTGGGTGCAATTATTTACGGTAATTAAGTACGGTAATCGGTAACTTTTTAAACTTAAATCGATACTTTTACGTTCATTATATTATTTACCAAAACATTTTACCCTAAAGATAGAATCATATAAAAATAAAATAATTTTTAAAAATGTTAAGTATAATTTAGAAACAAATATGTTATTAGGATATGTACGTTGTTGAACGATTATTTAAGAAAAAAAGTAAAAACGAAATATGTCCTTTCGCAAAGATGTCAATAAAGCTTCTTCTTAAAGCATTTTATTAGATAACTTGTCCTTCTTTTAATAAGAAATAATCGAAATTACACATTTTAATTTATTATTTTATAAAAAAATACAAAAGCAAAATATAATAAAATGAATTTTCTTCCAGCTTTTACTAGTTTGCGTGACGGAACTGTCCACACTGATCCTGGCCGGGGGTGGCGGTGGTCACAAGAAAGTAGTGATCCACGTGCCGGTGTACGTCAAACACCATCACCACAAACATACCATAGTAAAGCATGTGCACCACAAGAGTGGGGGCGGAGGCGATGACCACTACGAAGTGCTAGGCTATACGTATGGGGAGCCTAAAGCAGCACCACACTTTGGGGGAGGTTAGATATTATTTATTTTATATTTATTTATTTATGTGTTTTCCAAAATAAAGTTATGTAGACAAAAGATAATTTATCTCTTTAAGAAACATTTTCCAGAAAACCTTCAGATGTGAGAATATTAATTAATTTAGTGTGTCGTAGGTACAATATATCAAAAACATTAGTCGGTATAAAATTGATATACCTAATATATCAACGTAGCGTCATAATGTCTGTCATTGTATAAATAAACGTGTAATATATATGAATGTACTTGTTAGTAACGTTTTTTGGATATCCATATCCCAGCACTATGATAGAAACAACAGCGCAACTTACTTTATTTATAGTACAAGTCTATCAAATACTGAAAACTGACCAATGCTATAAGTTTGTAGGTAATTATTTCTATATAAAGTATTTAGAAATTCCTGAAATTTTATAAACAAAAATTGTTATTTTATCTTTATAAAGAATCTAACAGCTAACTTAATTTATTTTATGTATAAAATTCCAGGTCATGGTTGGGGCGCGGCGGAAGAGAGTCACGGCTATGGGGACTCGCCAGTCAGCTTTGAAGGTGGCGAGCACGGAGGGTACGAACATGGATATTGAGGACATCCAACATTGCTTGAAACAAATTACAGCACGCTTTTACGCACAGTTTTGGTACTGTTCATGAACTCTAACTAGATACTCATTAATATTTCTTCAATATCCCTTAATATTTCTCCAAAATAAAGGACCAAAAAGGAATTACAAGTCCAAACTATACAAGTAAAATAATTTTAAATGTTAAATTACTAATTGCTATTGAAAATTTATAGTGTTATATGTGTCTAAAAGTAAGAAGCTATATAAGTACAGGTTTTGATAAAACCGAAAGTTTAAATATTTCACGAAAGTAAAATATTATCTCAAAAGTTATTCGAATCGATACTAAACGGCGACTAATAAAAACTTTTTAACAAAAAAATAAAAACCGACTTCAAACAAAAGCACTAAAAAGTAACAAATAACTGATTGGTAGTTTTCATTTACTATACATACCTAATCAAATATTTTCGAAGTCGGTGTGCTTAGCTTTGTATGGGCTGGCACCGATTTCGAAAATATTTGATTAGGTATGTATTTAATAGGTAGGCTTTAATTACTAAGCCAAAGCACACCGACTTCGAAAATATTTGATTAGGTATGTATAGTAAATGAAAACTACCAATCAGTTATTTGTTACTTTTTAGTGCTTTTGTTTGAAGTCGGTTTTTATTTTTTTGTTAAAAAGTTTTTATTTTTCCCTTTTTAGTGTAGCAAAGTAAGGATTCTAACGTGTTAGGCTTGTCAAATCAAACAAAATAAGCCCAAACTCAAAGTATCTACTATTAGCCGTTGAAGAGTTCCACCTATCCACCTTCTGTCCTTGCCATCAGATCAGGTCAACAACACCGAACCACTGTACTATCAACGGAAATAGAAATACTTGCGAAGTTTCAAGTCAATATGACAATTAGAAGTAGGTTAAATTCATCATTAGTTGTTTTTCCACCCTTAGGGGTGGTATTTTTTTTTGAAATTTAAATGGGACCAATCTGGAAGTACACCCTTTCAAACAAAACAAAAATTGTCCAAATCGGTTAATAAATGACGGAGTTCTGAGGTAACAAACATAAAAAAAAAAAAAAAAAAAAAAAAACATACAGTCGAATTGAGAACCTCCTCCTTTTTGAAGTCGGTTGAAAAACTGTATGCTTGGATTGTTTCTGTAATAAGGATTTATGGTGATATTTTTATTAGCCGCCATACATCACGCTAAACGTGGCTGTAAATCATGAGACCATTACATTTCTATAGGTTTCTTTTTCTATAAATTCGGATAATGTTTCGTAATATATATCTTAGTGCCTGATTTAAGATAAGCTAGCAATGCGAGAAGAATGTTTTATTGGTGTTATTCTTTTTTAATGGCAGCTTATTTACTTGTATAAAATTACAATAAAATATTACTATAATTATCACATCACTATACATTATTTGTGATGATGATAGATTTATGTATTACTAGCAGAAGCTGCGGCTTCGCTCGCGCTAAAACTATAAAAAACAAACTCTAAATAGATAGGTTTCATACAAACTTTCTTCCCCTATTTTACCCCATTATGGGATGAATGTCGAAAAATGCTAAAACACGCTTTTATTTAATTATATTGAAGAGTATCAATACCAAGTTTCAAGCAATTCTGATCATAAATATTTTTTCGGGTTGTATTATAACGTGTTTTCCCTTGAGAATAAGGTAATCTCCCGTGGTAAAAAGTAGCCTATATCACTCTCCAGTCCTCCAACTATCTCCACACAAAAAATCACGCCAATCCGGTCACTCCACTTCGACTTGAAAGAAGGACAAACAAACAAACACACTTTCACATTTATAATATTACTATGGACCGGCGACTCACACTCGCTTCGCCTGTGTTCATTGGAAAGATGATTCTTTAAACTGACATAACTTTTTTATTTATGAACAGATTGAAATAAAACTAGGTAATAATACTAAACGTTAAGTGAAGCTTACCACAATACATTAGTGAAAACCGCACCCAAATCGGTGAAGCCGTTTCTGAGATTAGTATAAACGCACAGACAAAAAAAATCTAAAAATCATTTGCTTTGGGTTCTATTGCGTTAATAAAGACCCTATATATTAGTTTTTCTCAAATATCTTCCATGTACAGACAGCGATCAGTTACAATTTTATTATATGTATAGATCACATGATAATTAATTGTAGATTCAAAAGATTCAAAAAGCTCACGTAGAAAGCACAAATAAGATTTTAATCACAAGTAAAATTAGAGGTGACTAAAATACTCGTATTATGTGACTTAAAAAAGTACAACATCGAAGTACACATTAGGTAAGGATTGACCAAAAATCAAATTGATTTTTTTACGATTAAATGTTTATTTTTATTGTTTAATATGTAAGACTTGTTGTGAAAATACAAAATAAGTATTAACTGTAGATATTAAAATATTACTATTATTTTTGATAAGTGTTTAATTTCTTAATCAATCTCCTGTTTGTTATTTTATAACCCATAACCAACCCATATTTTGTATTTACAATATTACATATATACAGACAGCGATTTTTAATATTTTGCCCTTTCTATTTTTGAGACCTATTTTCTCCATGTAATGATGGATTTTATTTAAACACTAGCATTGCCCGCGGCTCCGCCCGCGTTCAGATGACCAAAAACCAAATTCTTAGGTTTTACATATTAGTATACTCTTACAATGCAGTTTTTGTATTTTTCTCAAAAATGAGATAATTTCCCGCGGTAAAAGGTATCCTATATGTTGACCCGGATCACCAGCTATCATCATACCAAATTTCATCAAAATCCCTCCAGTGGTTTTTCTGTAATGCGGTAACAGACAGACAAAAATTCTAAAAACTATAGATTCGGCCTCTGTATCGATAATAATGTTTGTTTGAATAAGATTTTCCAAAAAATATCTATTGTACAGATTCGCCTTAGTTACAATTTTATTATATGTATAGATATTCAATATTTTTGTTAAACTTAATTACAACTTTATCTATTTGTTCATAGAATATTATATTCTGGGAGTGAATGCTTCATATAATTGTTATAATATAAGAACTACTGCATGGATTTAAATATTTATTAGCGTAATATTTTTATGATTGAGATCGAACACACGTAAACTTCATACCTGTTCATATTTTAGTCCAATATATTTCGAAATACATCGATCTCCGTAAAACCTAACCTACCTCTTTATACCTAAATTAAAAGTACCTTTGTGCCTAGTGTATATCTCCGGATCTTGGTCTCTAGTTGATTATTGAGTCTCTATTAAGCAGTTAAAAGTTAATTAAAGTTGACAAAGCAGGGAAGTTCGCGGTGTTTTGCTCCTGTGCCTCGGAGAGCAGGAAAGGCGTCTGACCTGCGCATCTCTCACTGCTCGTCCCGAATTGTCATCCCACCGGAGTATAAAACTAACAAGAATAGAGTGTGCATTTGTGTATTTGCTTGCACATTTTGCTATAATGCTATATAATATCTACATATAATGTGTGCAGTCATGTAATGTCAGCAGCTAGTCTTAGTCATATTGGCCGCCGTGACCGATATCGTCCAGAATTACATATAGTACGGGATTTTACGAGTTATTAGTATCAAGCTAATTTTCCGTGAGTAGCTTCATTTTAATGAGACGCCCAAATTTTTCTCTTACAAAAATTCTCGATTTGACGATTCTCAAAAATTTATTACTAACTGTGGGGGTTTTATTAAATCTTAAGGTAATTATGTATTATATTTGTCATACAAAATGTATGGTTTGATCATTACGCATATATTGCTGAACTCTATAAAGTTAGGCTACCGCAGACGGATATGAAGGCGCGGAAGACACAATTGGAGTTAATTACAAAATTCGTTTATACTATACAACATCATAATATGATTAACTTCTTTCTTCTTTAATTAATCTATATTAATATTATAAAGAGGTAAAGTTTGTGACGTTGTAGGCGGTAAATTAATCGCTGGATCTACTGAACTGATTTAGGTGAAATTTGGTAAGAAGATAGTTTGAGACCCTGGGGTGAAAATGGGGATAAAAGTTTGTATTGGAAAGTAAGCTAGGGAAGAACCCGAGCAAAGCGAGGGTAAATCGCTAGTGTTTTATAAGTTCATAATTATTAAAAACAGTAATAGAAATCTATCTTTATAGATAGTTGCGACATAATATGTAAGTTCCGGGAAAAATAATATAATAATATACTATAAAAAGTATTTATATTTTACACAACAATGAAAACAATCGTCAGATCAATTAGAAAATTGACGTAGACTTTTTTATAATCAATTTCTCTGTCACTTTTCTGTTTAATATTGTACCGTGCGAATTATATTTATTTTAATACTCGTATGAAAAAACCTTCTTTGTTGTTATACAATTAGCTAAACTTAATAACATTATAAAGAAGCAAAGTTTGTTTGTTTGTTTGTTTGTTTGTTTATTTGTTTGTTCGTTCGTTTCTTTACTTGTTTGTTTGAACGCGCTAATCTCAGGAACCACTAAACCGATTTGAAAAATTCTCTTTGCATTAGATAGCCCGTTTATTGAGGAAAGCTGTAGGCTATATATCATACAATATATAATCTATCTATTCCATACTAACCGTTATTAATAAATAATAATAGTATACATTGAAAACAATTTCAAACGTGAAAAGACCTTTGTTTACACTTTTACTAACTTCATTTGTAACTCTACATAAGTAATCAAATCATAGAAGTGGATTTAACCCAACTCTCTAAATACCATGTTGATATAAAACTTTGTATTACTTTTTACTTGTGAAATTCAAATAAAATTACAATAAGTTAATCCTACCTACTAGTAAATCCTTCGAGTTTGGGCTCATTTGATTTATTTTGAAGTCTACGAGTAGCATAAGAGTAACTGTTTGTCAAAAGCATTTGTTTATAAAATTTGTAAAGTCTTATTAATAATTATTATTACTCAAGAAAAAATAATAATTATTATTAATTTAATGTTATCTATTAAATATATAGACATGAATGTATGTCTGTTTTCATATGCTTTAATTACGACGTACCTATTTATATTCTTAAGAAAAATGCCTGTAATAACAGCTACATTTGGACATATTTAACTAAAATTAAGTAAATACAAATTAAAAAATGCCATTAATTTTGAGTTAACTTTAGAATATAACGTTTCTTTATATATCAAACTAGCATTGCGCGCGGCTCCGCCCGCGTTCAGATGACCAAAAACCAAATTCTTAGGTTTTACATATTAGTATACTCTTACAATGTAGTTTTTGTTGACCCGGATAACCAGCTATCACCATACCCAATTTCATCAAAATTCCTGCAGTGGTTTTTCTGTGATGCGGTTACAGACAGACAGACAAAAATTCTAAAAAGTATACATTCCGCCTCTGTATAGATAATAATGCTTATTTCAATAAGATTTTCAAAAAATATTTATTGTACATATTCGACTTAGTTACAATTTTATTCTATGTAGGTATAGATTATACATTTTGTTCAGAATCGTTTTTGTTATAAAACTCGAATTTCGTGTCATACCTTGGTTTTACCTTTGTTTGAAGTAAAGCACATTTTTTGTAGTACATTGAAGAATAACACTTAGCAATTGTCATAGGAAAATATTTACAATTTAGTGGAATTTAAAAAAATAAATGCGCATTGTCAATCTAGACACATCATTTTTTTTCTTATTCGAACATATATCCGGTGTGGAAATATGTATAAAGATAAACAATGAAATGAGATTCAGAGATAAACGTCGGCACCTGGTGTAAAAAGCAACGAGAACAAACTAATAACTTCCTTATAGAAGTAGGAAATATTACAAAAAGTGCGTTGCGCAATTCCCACTAAACTATTTTGTTTTCTTGTATCTGTAATGCTTTATTTTTCACGGTTGCACAACGGATCTGGGACACGTCCAATTTGTTTTGGACGTTTTGGGTGGTTTTAGACCGCTGTGACATAATTTATGAAAGTTACTATTTGAATTGATTGAACCTTTCAATTACTTCACTTCTATATAACTCTCTAACAATGTTTAGATATAAATGGTGATTCAATTTTAAATATAAATTCTGCAACTAAAATTTATTATATTTCCCATATAAAATAATTAGTAAAGGTAGAACCCTCTGTAGATGAGATTAGCAAAGATGAGTGAAAGTAAAGTTTATAATGAATCATTTTGTTTTTGTAGTGTAATGTAGGTAATTATGGTAATTTCCTGGTGTTTTTGTTAAAAAAGGATAACTATTCAAAATGTTAGTGAAGAAAAAAAGCTCAACAATTTCATTAACAATTTTATTATAACAAAACAAATAAAACTATAAATTAGATAACAATATACATTTACATTTGAAATAAAATTAACATATTATAATTAATTGATTAATTTAAAATATAACTATATAGACGAATGAAGAGACATCACACGTTTTTAATTATTAAACGTATTTGGTTTTTTGTACTAGTTGTCAAATTAGTAAGTAGGACTCTATGTAGGTACGTATTTTTAAATCACAGCTTAATACACCAATGATTCAATGCCTCCAGTTTTAATGCTTTGTTGTATGCCAGCTTCTCTATTAAAGGTTACAGGTGTATCGTCATTAAATTCTTCTGCTGAAGAAAAATATGCTGTATTACCTCCATCACCAACTATATTGTTACCAGGATCATCAAATGCTGAACTATCGGAGAGTTGAGACGGTTGTACACTGGAAAATACAGGGCCATGAGTTGGAATTGACGTAGATAGAGCATTACCTTGGCTTGTGAAATCTTCAATATTTGCATAGGGAGCAGGCTGCGCATTAGAAAAGGGATCATGATTAGGTGAAGATGCTGTACTTTGTTGAGAAATATCAGCAAAAGGGTCGTTTTCGGAATTAGCCGCCGCGCTCTTCACATATCCATAAGTACCTGGATATGTTTGTGATAAAGTATTAACAGCAGTAAATATGTCCTCTTCGTTTTCCTCTCCCTCTTCTTTCACTTCATAACCATGCGATGGAGTTTTTCCTGCAATACCTGGCAAAGCGCCGGGTAAAGAGTCAAAGAATTTCACTTTTTTTATTGTGTGTTCAACACCGTGCACATGAGGAGAAGGCACAAATGAACTGTAATCATGTCCGTAGGTCGGACTTGGATAATTAACTTGAGGAGGTTCATAATTTACTGCTGGAGGGCTGTAACTCACGGAGGGAGGATCGTAACTAGGTATGTCATGGTGTTTATGTTCATGGCCGTGGTGGCCGTGATGACCATGATGACCGTGGTGACCATGATGCTCTTTATGTCCATGATGACCGTGTGACCCATGGTGACTGGAGTGCCCTTTCGAGACGTGCGACGTTGTTTTCTTTTGGTGATGATAATGATGCCCATAAGGAATATGTGGTTTTGGATGGTGATGATGATGATGGTGGTGGTGTTCTTTTTTAGGCTTCTGGTGGTGATGATGAATCGTAATCACTTTTGTGTGATGATCATGATGGATAAATTCAGGCACGTGCACCCTGACGTGATCGCTGAAAATAAAAACTTAGATTTAATATTTACAATCTGTGTTAATAAATCAATAATTATATACATTTAACAGAATTCAAAGTTAAATTCATTAGTTTTATATTGAGCTAATTTTACATTTAAACTTTATAATATACATTAACTTTACACATTATTTCGCTTTAGCTTTATTGATAATAATAATAAATTAAATTTTCATATTCAAATCAGAAACATTATGATAATAAAAGCACAAAGAATTCGCACAAGCAATAAATTAGAAAGTTATTTGAAAAAAAATCATTAAAACAAACAACGTACTGATGTTTTTCTCCATGACCTCCCGCGTCGGTGTTGACAATAAACACAAATAAAACCGATACATATTTTATCAAATCCATTGTTTCACTTCTATTGGGGTAGACTTCGAGTAATTTATTATAGTCTACAATCAGTCTAGGACATCACATTTTATTGCACACTGTTCATATGAACTTTTTAGCTTTAAAAGTGTTAAATTCTAGCAACGATTGTCGAGATGTGGCACCGCGCCGTCGCACTGCACTGGATTGAGCTGCAAAATATTGTGAGATGACCATTTATCTAATTTCACTTAAATAAACGCGTAATGTTAACAAAAAGACAACAATTGCCCGTACAACGAACCCGAGCAGAAAACTACTTAAGAAGCGATTTTTAACGACTTCAGAACTAATTCTTTTACTATTATGGTCCAGATTCCGATGCGATATTTTTAGTCTCTACACAGAATATGTGTACGGTGGAGATTGTTCGAATTGACTATTTCAATACCGTTCCAAAACAACGCATTCGATAAGGCTTTTGAGTGGATGCTGTAATCGGATTGCATATTAGAGTTATTGGGTTGTCGATCAAGGTGTCGGGTCGGTTCCGTCTATGTAACACACTACAAATATTTTTTACCCCAAATTCGATTATTTTTTGTTGATTTTACGCTTTTAAAAAGGAAAAAATAACTTAGATCTTCAATGAATGAGTTAAGGAACAATTAAAATTTTTAAAACGGTTTTATTTTGGATTCTTCTCCTTACATATATAAAATTAGAATGTATTGTCTCTATTGTACTTTTTATATCTATAGATTATTCCTACGGTGCAAAAAAATGTAGAGATGGAGAATATTTTTTTTTGTGAGCTTTATAATATTATTGTAAAGTAACATTATTTATACATAGGTATGTATAGATTCAACGTGAATTTTCTTCCTTTAAATCGAAAACATAATTGTGGAATCAAGGATACTCTATTTAGCATAGAAGGGTACTTACTCTATTACTAAGCCTCCGCTATCCGTCCGTCCGTCTGTCAGAGGGTTGTATATCATAAATCGTAATAGGTAGAGAGTTGAAATTTTCACAGAGTATGTGTATATTGTCGCTATAATAACAAACAATAAAAATAAAAATATAAAATACAAGAAACATTTTTTAACGTTCGTAATCGATCATAAAAGTTAATATACTACATACATAGAGTAAAAGTCATATTAATAAAAAGTACATGAATGATGGTACGGAACCCTTCGTGTGCGAATTCGACTCGCACTTGACCGATTTTTATGTGTTCACCGCTTATTTGATGCATTCTCCACCGACGTAGAATGAAGGAGGTCTTAGGAAGTCTTAGGTCGAAGCATGTAGTTATTCCTCGCATATCATTCTACAGAGTAGGTATTTTGTCATGTCATAACAAAATAATTTGTTTCCATAGAGGCCACCGTTTCAGTTTCAGAAATGGCTAATTCCGTTGGTTCCGTGTAAAGATGACGATTCAGATTGCTTTTAAAACATGGATTTGATCAGTTCATCAAAAACTTGAACGTGACATGTTTTCGAGGCTATTTTATAGGTGATGTTTGCAACCTCAAGCATGTTGTTAGTTACAAACTAGGGCCGTTTCTTCAATTACTATTGTATTTATATTATTGATATTTATTGGTTTTTATTTTATTTCTCGGTTCTTAGAAATTAAATAATTTCTTGCGTTAATTTACCTAAAACCTAGGTAGGTTTTAGGTAAATTAAAGCAAGAAGTTCGTACGAGGAGCCAGGAGGTGGATATTGTAATTCTGAATTTTAACTAAAAGAGTATGGATACATTATATTCCTTTTCCTCTCCCTCTTCTCGCTCTTATACGATAAAATTTGTGAGCTGTTGTTTTTGTACTACAATGATAAATTAATTTATTTATTCTATAATAATTATAAAAAAAATCTATTCTTAATTTTTTTAAGGTAAAAAATAGTATATCAATTCATCAACCTACGTTGGAGCTACAAAGAAATAAAACAAAGTTATGATTTTAGAATTTGGCAAAATCTATAATGTAAAATTCTGATAAAATACATTCGTAAACAATGTTTGTCATTATCGGAATTTTTGCTATTATTTTCGCACCTTTTTACCATACGAGTTATAATAGCAATTATTACCACTAGAATATTATTTTAAGACATTAGATAAGTAACTTATACTCTTTTTGTTAACATTCAGAATTACAATATCCACCTCCTGGCTCCTCGTACGAATCGATGGTGATATGAAATTTTTAACAAAGGAGGTTTTTAACAAAGGAGGTTCTATGTTCGTCCGTATGTATTTAATCTCAGTAGGTATCTATTGTAAATGTAAGCCCACGTTCAGCTATTTTAATTTTTTTATCCTTTAGTGTCTGGAAATCGGTCACTATTCTTTTTTAATAAGCAGTTATACTAAACCTCAAAAGCTTCGGATTGACATCTTCTTTAGAAGTAGGATAAATATCTTTATACTTCCAAGATTTGATTACAAGTTGTTTAGTTACAGCTTACAAATAGGTAAAAAGGTAGTAAAGTAATTAAAAAAATGAGAGATTTTACTAAAGTTACTTTTAGGTTTGGGCATTTTTGGTATATTCATTATATTTTTATATGGATAATAATGAATGAAAAAGAATGATACTTGTAAAAAAGTACAAATAGAAAATGTAATATTAGTTTCAAATAGGATTGGTAAATGTTTCGAATTTGATTTCCCATTACATTTTAATTGGCCGTCCAGTCGATTTATTGGTTTCCCTCGGGAACCTGTGATTGTATTATAAACGTGGGGAATTAAGCCATCCTTCATTCGTTTGCCTTGTAATTATGGTAATAGACGAAAATAAAACAGACTTTACAGTGCTGTAACATTTCGATAGTTAATTTAAAATGGCTTTCAAATTGGAATAAAAAATGTTTTTTTTTTAATATTAAAATTATTTATTAGGTCACATAACACTTACGCAAGCAAAATATAATGCTTTACAATTATGTATAAACTAAGTAATAAATTAGTGTAAACTTTTCAAATATTTTAATTTTATAAATAAAATATGAGTGGACATTGACAATGTAAGAGTCTACGAGTATTGCGAGTCTACATATTTTTATTCATTTAAATATTAAAAATAAAAATCCCATAAGGCTAGAACAAGATTAACAAATAATTCGCAAAAATGATACAAATGGTTATCACCGCGACAAGTCTATCAGTATATCTAAAACACAACTGAAAGTCATTTACTATACAAATTATAGTTTTTGTTTAAATCTAACTTTATGAAAAAAAAAATCTATACATACAATAAAATACTGAGTCGAGTCTGTACATGTAACATTTTTTGTAAAATCTTATTGAAATAGTCATTATTATCGATACAGAGGCCAAACCTACTAATTTTAAAAATTTTGTCTGTCTGTCTGGTATCACGAGAAAATCACTGGGACTAAACTAGATTTATAAAAGTACAATAATAGAGTTAAATTTCGCTTCATTGATTACTTGCAATTTATAAGAGTATAATATGTAATATAAAGTTCACGAACCAATTTTACAGATATGAGCAATATACTTCGCAAAGCAAATTGTATAACAGATTTTACTCATCCTATTGAAGACTAAACTAACAATTTAAAAATAGAAAAAAGTAATTCATAATTTAAATATAAAGGTGGGAAAAGGCAGTGGTAGTCCAGTGGTAACACGCTCGCTTGGGAAACCGAGTGAAGTGAATTCATATCCCGTATCTCGCACGTCTGATATTTTCATGTGCGAATCATTTCTAACTTGATTACCACTTGCCTTACGGTGAAGGAAAACATTGTGAGGAAACCTGCATGTATGAGAAAACCTAGCAAGTTTTCGAAAGACATGTGAAGTCCGCCAACCTGCACTAGGCCAGCATGGTGGACTATGGCCTGATTCCTCTCGTATTGAAGGGAGACCCCGTGTCCAGCAGTGGGACGTTAAAAAGGGCTGAATACAATACAAAGGTAGGAAAATAAATTAAAAATAAGCTATCAGTCTTTCAAGTGAAAATTATTAAATATAAACTTAAATAATACAATATTTTTAAAATTAATGATTTACAAATATCGTTTTGTACAAAATGTTTGGTTTTAATTCTTATCACAAACTATGTTAAAAGTATTACAATTTATAAATAATATAAGCATAAAATTAATTAATATTAATATTAAATACAGAATAACATTACCTAATTAAAGCCACAGATGACTCTGAGTGCTGAAGAACAATTTTAAAGGAGTGATAAAATAATATTAGTTGTATAGATTATTTAGTCTCGTCTAAACAGAGGGATACGTTTTGGTTTAATGGTTCGGTCACGAGGCACATCTGGGATATCCAAATGCAAGTCCACCGGTGCATCCGGTAGAAACTCCGGGATTGAAATCGTCGGTAGACCTGCACCTGGTATCCCTATTCCAGGGATTAAATGAGAATGTTTTGCCACAGGAGGTTCATCGAGGTGCATGTAGTGGAAATGCTCATGTTCTTCGGCAGGCGACAAACTCTCAAGGTCCTGATGGTCATGGTGTGTATGATGGTGATGGACCGTCTTGAAGACAGTATGCGTGTGTTTAATCTTCTTCACTTTATATGGTACGTGAATAACAACTTTTTTAGTTCGTCTGAAATAAATGATAATAAAATATTTTAATATACATGCTATAGTAATTATATTGTTAATTCAAATATTATCAATATTATATAAGACTAAAATTAGCCAACTACAGTTATCCGGTAATATAAGCAATGCTGTTTGAACTAAAACATGTAATGTGACAAGATTGCTAATTATATTAATTCAGTTAAAAATTTTTTTTTAAAATGTCGACGACCTTTCAACGTTTATGTACAAGGTAATAAGCTACGGTCTCAGCACGTCACATCATAGACTACTTAGATGTCCTTATTAATCTGACAAAAATACGAAGTTTGCCAAAAAGATCGTATTTACATAAATTATTAAAATACTAGCAGAACCCGCGGCTTCGCTCGCGCTTAAACTACAAAAATATATCTAAGGAGGTGGTTTCATTAAAACTTTCATCCCCTATTTTACCTCTTTATAGGATGAATTTCGAAAAATGCGAAAACACGTATTTATTTAATTTTATCAAAGAGCATTAATACCAAGTTTCAAGTAATTTTGATCATAAATATTTGTTTGGATTGTATTATAACGTGTTTTTCCTTTCGAATTAGATATTATTCCGCGGTAAAAAGTAGCCTATGTCACTTTCCAACCCTCCAACTATGTCCACACAAAAAATCACGCCAATCCGTCACTCCGTTTCGACGTGAAGGACGAGAAGGACAAACCAACAAACAAACAAAAAAACAAACAAACACATTTTCACATTTAAAATATTAGTATGGATTGTTGCTTAGAAATGTATAGTTTTTTTATGAATGTAGAGTATATAAAGTATATATTTAACATAAAAATTAATAACGATTCGAGACAACCCGCGTTCGCGCAAACATCGGCATCGACGAAAGAAAAGTGGTTTTCCGTCATAGGCCAGTGAAATTACTCTTCCGTGCTGTTGCATGTTATTTGTTTTTCGATTTCATTACGACCACCGAAACTTTATACGTAACATCATACACGTAATTCTATTGTCAATTGTCATTGTAAAATTATATTGTTAGTGATATTTTTTGCGTCGTTGGTTTTCGTTAGGCGATTAAGACAACGTGTAAATTTTATATGTTATAATTAAAAAGTATTTGGTAATATTACGGTATTCATATTATTTGATTTTCATATTCAGTAAGAAAAATAAGAAGTTAAATAAGAAGAAGATACTAGATTTTGCTAACAAAATTTGTCAACTGAACCTTTCGTAGACTATACAAACAAACAACTCTAGCAGGATCTACTCTTTTACTGTACCTTGACGCCTAAGACATTGATTCCGTCGATTACATGTATTAGGGAAATAACTAAAAAGGGTTTGCCGGTAGTTAGAAGTATAAAAAAGTATTAATAGTAACAGCTGAGTACATTCCTTACTAGACATGCAAAGAAATTGTATTTACTTATAACGTAACTGCTAACTTTAATCGACTTTTGGGCCACTAGCATTCGTAAAAATAAAATCCTTTCCTTTCATTAAAAAATAAAAACCGACTTCAAACAAAAGCACTAAAAAGTAAAAAATATCTGATTGGTAGTTTTCATTTACTATACATACCTAATCAAATATCTTCGAAGTCGGTGTGCTTTGCTTTGTATGGGCTGGCACCGATTTCAAAAATATTTGATTAGGTATGTATTTAATAGGTAGGCTTTAATTACTTAGCCAAAGTATATATATATACTTATTATATATTTTTTAATGAATTATCTTAAGATACTTTGTAGATATATCACTTTGGTTTCCTATTTAAACAAAATAAAATAAAATCAAAAATGATAAGCAGCATAATTACTAGTCTAGAGACGATTTCAAAATAACTCTAGTTTAAACTTCACTCAACAAAGAGCATGTTACTTAAATAATAATAATTTAATACTTCGTATTTGTATTGTTAGTTCCTTGCCAAGTACAAACTTCCACCCCTCAAACTATCTTCGTACCGATTTTCATCTAAATCGGTTCAGCAGTTTAGTCGTGAAAAGGTAACAAACAAACTTTCGCATTTTTAATTAGTACTAACGGCTCACCCTCGCTTCGCTCGGGTTCTCCTCTAGTAAAACAAAAACCTATCCCACGGGATTCGTACATTTTCCGAGATAAAACATAGTCTGTGTGTTATTCCACGTTATAATCTATCTCTGTGACAAATTTCATCCAGATCCGTTCATCCGTTCTGGCGTGAAAAAGTAACAAACATCCATACAAACTTTCACATTTATATTATTAGTATAAATTGATTGTAAAGCCTTTACATTATACTGCATACTGAATGACATTACAGTTAAATAATAATTAATTGGTTTTATACGTAAGTTTCATACATTCATTAGAAAAAAATGAAAAAAATTGCATCTACATTAGAAAAAAAGAATTAATATTAGGTACATGTGCATTTAAATATATGAACAAAAACTTGAGATTATATATTGTGATAGAAATATATGATAAGGATGTTAGTGTAAATGAAATGTATTCTATAAATATAATAATTACAAGTTAAGATATTAATCACATCTAGTTTTTGAATATAAATAATGATCAAATTGAACTGCTTCATTTATGTATATTCATTATTTCATTGTTTTTTTTGTATTGTATTTATCTTATGAATGTTTTTTTTATTTGATAATTGAAAGTTTAGTTAAATATTTAAATATATATGATGAATACAATTAAATAAACAAATACATATACATCTGTATTCTGTACACTTCACTTACCCCTCTGTATGTGTAACGAGTATCGCTAGGAACACCGCCAAGCAGAACAAAAGCTGCGAACATAAATTTAACTTATTTTTTCTTTTAAATACTTTTAATACTAAAATTGCTTACTACTTATCCATACAAAATTAATATTGCTACTGTACTTTATTTATTTATTTTGTTAAATAAATTAAGATAAGTATATTTTATCAAATACAAAAAATATATCAACGCAATTTTATGCATTTTTTAAATATAATTACGCATAAGCATTCCAAATATAAACTTTCCAGTTAAGTTTTCTAAATTCTCAAAAAGAAATATTCGCTAACACAAAGACATACCACCGATTGACAATCCATAATCCCGTATCTATTGTGTTGAGATAATGTAAAGGAAAACACTGAACAAAAACGTGAAAAGCTCAAACGCAGTCAAACAATTAATGCAGTGCGGCTGCACGTGAAGTGGAACCGATAATGAGGGCCGATACAATTGTTTATACTTATATATGGTTCACACCAGTACTTACTACATTGTATTTATTATGTTATATACTTGCATCCCTCTTCGAATTTTTTCATATACACAAAAATATTATTAGCGATTTTGGTTTTTTTAGATATTATATATAGGTATATATACTAATATGTATTGTTTTGCTGTTTTATTTTTGTTTGTTTGATTTCGCATTATATAGGTTATTATCTTAGGGTTATCGCCGTTCCAACATCACGTTAGGTTCTTAGGATAGATACTACAAGCGGATAAAACTTCAATCCTTTTATGACTTCTTATAACAGAGTTTAATTGTATATAGAAATAAGGTAATTATTGCTAGTAATAATAGAAGCTCGTATTTGTATTTATTATCCATTTTTTAGGCACTTGCTGGCTTCCGATATAGACCTAGTCTAATGATGTAGTCTAAAAAGGTATTAAAACATCTCAATCACACTTGTTTTTAAATGAAATAGAAGCTTATTTTTACCTGAATGCCATTCTAAAGGCATCTGCATAAGTCTACATTAGCCATCTGCTATAACCATCCTATAAATGCTAGCTAATAAAAAATACGTTGAAATCGATTAAAATATTCCGAAGATTTTAAATATATACAAAGAAATACAGCGCTATGAAATAAAAGGGCTTTTTAATTATTAGTATCTTGCAATCATAATTTATGAGTAAATTATGAATACTTATAGATACTTTAATTTTATTCACAGGGTTAGATTTTTGCAAGTTTCATGATAATCTATACTAATAATATATTATAAAGAAGAACTATTTGATTTTTTGTTTGTTTGTTAGTAACAAATAGGCCCCGAAACTACTGAACCGATTTAGATGAAATTTGGTAAGCAGATAGTTTGACACCCTGGGAAGAACAAGGACAGTTTTTATATCGGAAATCATCCCTTAAGGGTGTGAAAATGGGGATGAATGTTTGTATTGGGAAGCAAGCAACCTAGGGAACAACCCGAGCCAAGCGAGGGTAAGTCGTTAGTTACGACATAAAGTAGAACATTGCATTGTCATACTCTAGAAATTAATAAATAATTTAACAGATTTGATTTGCGTTAAAAATCATCCAAGACCAATGGATTAGTTTGCATTTAATGGTACAGTTATAGGCATTGGGCAATGTAATAGGTAAACAATAGCTCAGAAAATTGTTTTCAAATGCGATCACTCTGAAGTACGATATTGAAATATGTAACGACTAGCGACTCCCCCTCGCTTCGCTTGGGTTCGTCCCTAGGTTGATTCTCCGTGCAAACTTTCATCCCCATTTTCAAGAGATGATTTCCGGGATAAAAAGTATCTTATCTCCTTCCCAGGGTGTCAAACTATCTTCTAACCAAATTTCTTCTAAATCGGTTCAGTAGATCCAGAGATAATCCCCTACAACGTTACAAACTTACAATATCACAAACTTTACCTCTTTATAATATTAGTATAGGTGACTTTTGCCCGATTTCACCAACAACTCATAGTCTACCACTTACGTATGGGATCCCTAACTTTAAAGCCCCCTAAACTAGCCCCTAAATTTAATTTCGTTTTACGATCGTCTTTAAGCCCATATTTCGAGCACCTAAATTTAGGGGGCCTTTTTATATTTAGGTGACCCCTAACTGTCGGTGAAACAGAAACTGTCCCCTAACAGCCCCCTAACCATGCTAAGGGAATCCCTTAAACTTAGGTGACGTTGGTGAAATCGGGTATTTAAGTTTCATTAATGACTAGTTCTCCACCGCTACTCTCCTCGTCGATAAAATTTATGCAAATCCATGATATAAGCTATCACCATTCCAAAGACTAAAAACCGTATATAAGTAACGAACATACAAATACAGAAAAGAAACAAAATACAATACATTTTGTAACATTCTTAAATATTTGATTGACAAGATGCTTTAAGTAGTTAAAAATGAAATCTTATATACAAAGAGAGTGAATTAATTGTTGTGACTCGCGGGAGAATTATGATTATTATGTTTTCTTGTATGCACTAGAAAGATCATTATGCACATCTCGAAAGTTTTCATTGTTTCCAATGTGCATGTAATAATCCTCAACTATAGTTGTATTAATATGGATTGTGAAGTAAAATATCATTTACTAGCAGAACCCGCGGCTTCACTCGCGTTAAAATTACAAAAAAGCACTCTTTGGCTTTATGCTATTTGTAATATTGTTTGGAAGTCTACCGGATGTTGACATTTATGAATATAACTTCGCTTTCTTGGGTAGTAGCATATGATATGTAGGATATAGCCTTCCTCAATAAAGGGGCTATTTAATGCAAAAAGATTTTTTCAAATCGGGTTAGTAGTTCCTGAGATAAGCGAGTTCAAATAAACAAACAAACAAACAATCAAACAAACAAACAAACAAACAAACAAACAGACAGGCAGGCAGACAGACAGACAGACAGACAGACAGACAGGCAGACAAACAAACAAACAAACAAACTCTGCCTCTTTATAATATTAGTACAGATTAAAATCGTGTAGTATTTGGAAATTCGTAAACTATTTTTTTAATTTCTATTAACAAATACTCAATGTATGATGAGTAGTATATTAAACAAGAAAGGTTTTAATTGGTTAAAAAAGCATTCGCATGCTACACATTTCCTGGCTTTGCCCCCTAAAATGACGTCTTGACGTATACGTCTAAGTTTATTACATTAGTAAAAATAGGAATTGCTAATGATTGTGTTAATTATATAAAATGGATATATTTCAAAAACAAACTAACTAAAACAATGCTATTTAACTATTGAACCTATAAATTACGAGTATTCGCTTACACAATAAACCAATATAACGCATAATCGATGTTCATTAGGGAAGTTAAGAAAATTATAGTACTTATATGTTGCACGTACGAATCGACTTCGTAATTCAATATTCATTGTAGGATTTTTCTTGGAACAGGAGTCTTGACTTTTCTCGAGTTACTAAAATATCTACTTCATTATCATTATTGGAACTTTTATCGTATATTAAATATAAATAAAAGAAATTTAAGTACTTTGCTTTAGCACTTTGAAAATGTTTCCATAGACCATAACGAAATTCCAAATCTTCAAAAAAGAGCATTGGCTTCTTCCAAATAACGATTTTCATTTTGTAGCTTATACGTTTTTAGTAAGGGAGGGTTTAGTTGTGTATAGTATCCAGGTGGTTCATAGCCAAGCAGGAGGCCGCCGCGGTGGTCAAACCACTTACCATACGGAACTTCTAATATAGTACAGGCTATCAAATAATAAAGTTTACAAGTTAATCAAGTAATCATAACTTAATCAAGTAATCATGAGTTAATCAAGTAATCATAAGTTAATCAAGTAATCATGAAATTGTTCTCTGTGTTGTCTCATAAATACTTTGTCGCTACTGTTATATTCGCCTATTTTCAATGCAACCTAAAATATAATTGTATAAGTTTAAATTATGTTAACATACCTATTACAATAATTATTACTCGAGAAAATTCGTAGAATATCGAAGGTACAGATAAAAATGTAGCATTTTTCTGTCTATCCAACAATCTAACTAATAAACGGCAGCCGACGAGATTGTATACTCCATTTTTAGGCTCAATAAAGTTAGTCAAAATATCATGTAAGATATTAAATATATTATTATAAAACTCTCGAAACCGATAGACTTCGTACAATTTTGCCGTATATTAATGACGAAAATTCTAAAATTATCACTGCTCATTTTCACCATAGAGAACCAGTTTAGCATCTTAGTTATTATTGTCAAACGATGGGCGTTCTGAACTCTTTCAAATACTCGTATACGTCGTAGACATATATCGAAGGCCCTCTTTAAATACCTATAAGCCACTATTGCATCCACTCTTTTAGTTAAGCTACAAGTAAAAATGTATAATAGGCGCGTAACGGAACGGCAATAGTTTGTGTTTATCGATGATCCAATTCTCACTTCGTTATAACTTGTAATTATACATTAAATTAAACAATCAACATTAAATTAAAGAGTAATATTTTGCCTCTGCTATAATACAAAATTGATTCAAATATTTGACATATAAAATTTTCGAAAGGTCAAAGAAAATACTTTAAAACGAAATCTAGTGTGACGTGAATAGTGTGCTTTGTATGTTATGGTTATAGAGCGTTCATAGTATCGTCAATTGTGAAAAACTGCCCCTTTTCTTTTTCATTCTTTAATAATATTTATTTTTAACCTCATACCAAAATGATAAAGTACAGACAATGCACATTTTATTAATTCTTCAAAATCGGAGGTAGGTTTCAAATTCTTCATCGCTTTAATTTTGTTGTCGACCAAATCCTTGTTAAGATCAATATGATAATAGACATCCTATAGATGATTAATTTTATCTTGAATTTCCCTGCCCTTGAGAGTGATATAAGGTCCAGATTGAAATATTTAAACGCTTATACTTAATAGGTACTTATTAGAGATTCCCTTTGGCTTTATTATATTACTAGCGATTATCACTTAGCTCGGATGCATTACTGGGAAGTCTTACAGTAAAGTGTTACTCCAAGTCCACGCTATGTATGTATACAGATAGAGTGCGTAAATACATAATATGTATATCCCAACATCGCGCTGGCACTTATAAAATAACTAGTTTAGTTGCCTTACATATAAATAAATAATAATATAATAATAATAATATAATAATTCTTTATAATATAATTAAGTCCGACCTTCCATTCTGTTTATAATAGATTTATAATACCTGTTACAATTCTTAATATTTTGACATTTGCACTTACAAATATAACGTCAAATGTTTAATATTTTTTGTTTACCTTCAGTCGATGTAAATAAAAATAATAATCAATGATTTACGTAGGCGAGTTTTAAATTTATAGAATTCTCGATATTGTGATAAGTTCGGGCTGAGACAAAAGTGCTTTATTTAGAGTTGTTATTAATAGTAATATTTTTATAGTATTACTAGTAACAAACCCTTGCTTCGCTCGGGGCATCCCTAGATACTTTTTATATAGATAAAAATAGTTATTGTAAAAGTACCTTAGGAGATAGACACGTGCTATTGCAGATTGTCTGTAAGTCTTCTTAAGATCTACAATTTTATAGTACATTAGCGACTCACTTTTAACGTTTAGTACAGATTTGTCAGAGATGAGATATTTTCGTGCAGTAAAAAGTATCCTATATGTTGACCCAAATAACCAGCTATCATCGTACCAAATTACATCACAATCAGTCTAGTGGTTTTCTCGTGATGCGTTCCCAGACAGACATACAAAAAATCTAAAATCTATAGGTTCGGCCTCCGTATCAATAATATCGACTAGTTCAATAATACTTTCCAAAAAATATTTAATTTACAAATTCGACTAAGTTACAATTTCATTATATGAATAAATTAGCGTAAACATTTTATTTATACTTTCGAACATATTTTATATTTTTGCTACATAATATGATTTATAAAAAAAAATATCACCAGGACACTGACTGATATATTTTTTTTTAATTTTATTTTGTTAAATTAAGTTATTTAGCAAGGGATCCTATTTACAGACGACGTAAATCTGCAAATAGGATTCATTGCTAAATAACTTACCTACTTAATTTAAGTTGATACTTATCGAGTACACTATAACGAGCTTCCGCCTTCTCCAATGTTAATAAAAGCAAGTTAGAAAAAAGCCAGTCAAAATATGTCCTAAATGTCTTAAAAATAGTTCGCCTTTCATTATTTCATATAAGTAATACTATTACATGCGCTATTCGTATTTCGATTGATATCTAGAACACAATGAAAGTGGTGACGCAACTTCCTGGCTCGAGCGGCCACTGCAAAAAACGTACAATCTGTAACAAGTGTTTTGGTACGGAACCTCGTAGTTATTTTTAAATTATAGGAGAGAAAAGTAGATAATGAGAAAAAAATATTTAACAATTTCGCATAGCCTATTTGATTTATTCATTAAATTTAATATGATTCAAAATGGTATTTTTGTAGAGCACTTAAATATTGTAATTTGAGTTTCTAGCCCCTAACTATTGTGATTAGGTTCTTTTATTTCTCATTTTGCTTTAGATTGTTAATTTTTACTATCTATGCATGCGTTTGAGATAAAAATATTGTGCGAAAAATGACTTATATTTTGAGTGCTGAAAAACTTTATTTTGACCATTTTTTATGTTGTTTTATTCACTTTTTTAATTCATTTAAATTTATATAAATTTAAAATCATTAATTTAATAAAGGTTTCATTTTTTATCCATTCGCCAAAACTGTATAATTAGAAGTTTTATAAGAATTTTGCAATTAAAAACCGTCGTAACAAAGTACCTACTACTTAGTGCCTTCTAAGTTTAGGCTAAAAAGGGAGATGAGAGACAGACTAAGAACAATAATCTTTTAATTAATATTATACATAAAACATATGAACACTAGTATGTAATAAAAAAATATTTGTTTTAACATTACTTTATTCGTAAAAATACATGACGATTCTTAATCTATCAGTCTTATATATTTATAAATAGAGAGGTGAAATAAATTATTACACAAACATCATCATTGGTGGGTTAATTTTATATGGTATCTATTGTTTGGTGGTCGTTTTTGGAGAGTCAACGACCGTCATCTGTTGCGGAACGGCGTAATTCTGAGTGTAGCTTTGAGCTATGTAAGGTCCAGGGCCTACTTGCTCTTGAAGTTTTTCAGCCTCTTCTGGGGCGACTGGACACATACAAGGCACTAGTTGTACGTGTTGGAGGGACACTGGTGTGAGACTAGCGCCAGCTGGTACACTTATGGGTATTGGAGCCATGTTTTGCTGCATTTGCACCTCATGTTGAGGATACGCTTGATAAACTTTCCTCGATTCGTACTGGGGATACATGTATTGATAGCGGTAGGGCGATATCGGCTGGGCCCATGTTTTCGGTGATGATTGGCTTCTGGAACAATTAAATGTATAATTCAGTATATTACAACTTAGCGTCCCTAAAATATATTATAAATTCGCTAAATAAAATCGCCTTATCGCTTAATACCATAAATTCGCAAAGGCATATTTACGATTAATTAAACATATAAGATACGAATATTTTATGTTCAAATTACCACTTTTTACCTACCCAGAATCTGAACCCCATTTCAGGAAAAACGCCTCAGTAGAGGCTATTAGCGCCAAACATAGAAGGAGGCACATCTGTAAGGAAACACACAGAATGTCAAATTATCATGTTCCAAAATTTACAATAAACATATAAAAAATGCATTTAACGAATAATTTTCATTTACAAACCATTTTATTATTTAAATATCGCAATGCAAAAAAACGTAAAAAATTTAATTAAAAAAATCCTTATTTTTCTCAATCTTAAAACTAAAACCGTAAATCTGCAAATATGTTATTAAAAATCATTCAAAAAACCGAAAACTATAGAAATGGAAGACGATAATGAAAGTGAAACACGTCACGACTACATTTTACAGTGTTTTTCAAATAAAAAATGCAATAGTAGGTCAATTTTTATGCTCTATTCTAAAAACTTTTCAATACTCGTGCTCGTGATTAGCAGTACTTCATACTTGTACTCTTAGTACTTGATTATATCCTGTTACAATAATAATAAAAAAAAAACTAACCCTCAGGTACTTTTAATTGAATAGATAGAATTTTCAAACAATTAAAAATCTTGAATAGAATGTATTATATAGATTTCAATACAATTTACTTAAAAAAGTAACGTTTCTTTATTGTTATCTTTTAACTGACAAAATTATTTTCAATTTCAACGCGCAGCAATGTGTATGTAAAATTTCTTTAATTTTAAATTATCGTACAATTAATTAAGCCCCAGATTATTTATTAGTTACTTCGTAAGTTAAACTGACAATGTAAGTAATTATTTATTTTTATAAACAACGCCGCCAGGGTGAGGTCCGTATGAAAGGAGATAGAACACTTAAATCATCCAATGATTAATGATTTCTCATAAGTAAAAACATGATAATTAATGAAACTTGTCCTGTAATTACACCGCAGACAAACATACAAATATATATCAAGTCAATCAAAACCTCGTTAAAAATAAATATGTTATTTTATAAACAGAACAGAAAATAGTTATTCCTTTAAGAAAAAAATAAAAAATCGGTCAAGTGCGAGTCGAATTCGCACACTAAGGGTTCTGTATCATCGTACATGTACTTTTTATTATTTATTTATTTATTTATTTATTAGATTCACCAGTGGTTAGTTACAATAATACAATTTATTTTATACAAGTACAATCTTTTTAAGTTTTTATAGCTAATTGCACTACCTTTTAAATATGATTTTATTATGATATTTTATTTATATTCTATTTTATCTGATTATGACTTTTACTCTATCATCATCATCTTTCTGCCCATTTCCCAATCACTTGAGGTCGGCGCAGTACATCTTCTGTACTGCTGATAACATTTTGTAAAAGTTTTACGACCACTCGCTTGCCTGGCATCAACCCTCCTTGAGACTTTTACTCTATGTAGTATATTAACTTCGATAATCGATTACGAACGTTAATAAAATGTTTCTATTTTTTGTTTGTATTTATATATTTTTTTGTTATAGTGACTATAGAAACACATACGAGTACTTCGTAAAAATTTCAACTCTACCTATTACGGTTCATGAGATTACAGCTTTCTGACAGACGGAAGGACGGACGGATGGACGAACGGACAGCGTAAGCTTAGTAATAGGGTTCAATTGGCACCCTTCGGGTACGGAACCCTAAAAAGAAGAGCAATATCTTTAGGCTATATCTGTCATGGGATAACAGACCGTAATTAAACCAAATAATATATAAAAAATATCAACAAGGTAGCAGTCTACTTGACTAATCTGAAATATATACTTTAGTCCAAAAGTAGTAATTTTATCTGCATTTGGATATTGTATAATGTATAGTCATATATAGCTTTTATCGTATTAATCAATTCCAAAAAAGTAGAACTTACTATGTTGCAAGTTTATATGTTTTTATTTTACATATGGTCACCAATTGCTCGAAGATGGCAAGACCGATCTAGACTAGACAAATGCTGTAAACATACAATTGCCCCAAAAGAAAACTGACAAACAGTAGCTAGTGTTCGTAAAATAAAAGTTACTCAGTTAACCTATTAAAAATGATAATTATTCTTTAAAAAAAGTACAAGTACAGTCCCAGACGTAAAAATACTAATTGCTAACAGTGCAGTTATCTACATAATGCTATAATTCTTCCGGAAATATATGAGTTGTCACTACGAGTTGCATTTCACTACTTAACGTAAATTACACAATCACATAGAATTCAAACAACAGTATAATCTTCAGGTTTGTGATATTATACGTAAGTCAAATAAATAATATGGTGTAAGCAATCATAAATTTGAGAAGATTGACGGCACTTAGAAAACGTTTTGTTAACACGTTCTTTTCGTGTTTATGGTATCGACAGCTATCATAATAGAGGTGTTAACAAAACCATCATTCGACAATGAGTTGCCACTCTCTCTGGCATCCCATTCATCGCCCGATGCCACCATGTAAATTGAAATTTCAAATAACAAAGGATAATCGGTAATAGTAAAATAAATATTATAGATCGATAAGCCTATACAACAGATTGATTTATTGTTGAAAGAGACGTACAGATCAAAGCTCGAGAACTTCTTTATTTTTTTTTATGTCTTTATTGATGTAGGCTCTACAGGGACCACATTTTGAAGGATATTTTTTTTAAGATATTTTCTATATACATACATTTAAGAATTTTAGTTTTATACATAGTAAGTGTTTTTGTTCTTTTACAATTCAACACAAAAAAAATAATTAGCAAATCGCAATAAAATATAAAAAATAGAAAGAATATAATATACTCACCGACATATTTGAATGCCTGAACATTGCACTGTTTAAATTCAATTAACTAGTACTACGTGAAGACGACCCGACACCTAACGTTTAACTGGACTACGAAAATGTTAGGAATTTTATTCAAAATCCCCCTTATATCGGAACGAAGATGCGCGCACCCAATCCAACCGCGGAATGACCGATCCCAGGGGACCAGGCGTTTTTTATACACGAATTCAGAAACATTCCGTCCCTAAAAAGCCGGTCCACGGTCCGAGCATGAAGTATAATAATAATCTTATTAACTTATCTACACTCCTATCTTTACTTAGAACGTACCGTTATATTCGCCCGAATTTAAAAAGGAGTTTCGTAGACTGCCCACTTAAGATAATTTCACACTTTTTTATGGTATGGCTAAGTGTTCGGGGTGGGGTGTGTGGGGTGTGCTCTGGAGCCCTGGTAATGCATGGGAAGGATGTGGCCGGCGGTCGTATCGAATCGAGACGGCTATATTACGGGCCCGACGGATCCATGACTCGTCACGTTTCCCATCGCGTGAAATCCTAAATGGGTGCAGCGTCAACATTTACAATGCAACTACAAAAAGTTTCTCCGGTCCCGTAGTTGCTTAATTGCCTCTGATTGATATTTTACTGAGGGTCTTCATTACGTTTTTTTCGATCGTTTCCGCTCGTCTCGACATGATAGCTATGGAATGAAACTCCATCACATCGACAGTATGGGATATATTTTGTGAATGAAGATATATTACACAATCCTGATCAAATCTATAAAAACTAATTATATATTAGTAGCAGGTAAATTACAAACATTCGAAATATTTTATGTGAAAATATATGATCCTATGTTTGTGGATCATGTATTACCTATATCAATAAATCGACTTGTACCGAACTTAATGATAGAGTCAGAGTCCCAGTTCTAAATAGTGCTTGTTACTTTTATCTAAGGGCACAAACTATTTGTGTGTTAACTTAAATTTTAGTCAACATGTTTGAATTTTTAAAAATTGCATTTTCTGAAATGAAAAGAAGAAATGGGGGTTTTCATTTAGAATAGATACTATTCAGATATTTTCGAAGTACAGGCTTTCCTAAATAGTTGGTACACTTTCCCGAATTTATGTCGAGACAGTAAAGGCGGGTTGCTAATGAATAATTAATTATAAAAAAGATATATTTATTCTAACACATCCTCCATCGTCTCTCCTAAGCTAATTGCTTTAGCTTCTAAGTTAATTGCCGAATATAATATAGCTAGTTTGATGTATTTGATAAACCATAGGTATTCATTCGTATTAAAAATGTGTTATATACATATACTTCAGATATAATAAAATTAGAGCACAGTATAAATGTGGCCTTTTACGACCACTCTACATGACATAACCATAGAATATAAAAGGAGAACATAAAAATAAGCCAGTAACTTTTATTCCTTGAATTCACTCAAACTTGACATCAGTGTTTTCTAGATAACAAATAATGGCCATTAAAGAAAATGTTCTCTATGATATATACTAGCTATCAAAAGTAACGGATGAGCTTGTCTGAAACGCGATAAGAAACAAAACCAGCCGTCGAGGCACCAAAAAGCCCTTTTACAGTTATATCGACATTCCTAGCCCTTAAAAAAGACTAACAACCTAATGATCAATATGTGAGCCTGCTTGTTTCCCTAATTTACATGTGAAAACGATTAAAATAACAACGTCTTAGATAAATGGTACCACATTTACATTAAAAATCGTGGTCAGTGCATAGTTTAGCAGTGCGATGGTACAATTCTGAATATTTAAATTATTTACATGCTTAACTGTTACATCTATTATAAACCGATAAATGATGAGATTGAAAATTAATGGTAGATAGTAGAAATTCGCTAATTTAAGCTTTAAAAACAAAAGTGGGTTGAAATATATTTAAAAAATAAAAACAAGGAAGAATAAGTTGGTGTAACTTAAAATGAAAAGATAATAATTAAAAATAAGTAGCGACATTTTTTTGCCTGGCACTACTAGGTCAGAAACATATAAGATGTATTATATATATATCATTCGGATATTTGGCTTGGTCTATGCAAAGTGAAATAATAGCATAATACCCATATGGAATATCAAAATAAACAGAAAGAGAAAATGCCTCATCTAGGTTACCATATGAGAAGAAAATCTAAAATTTGGTCAAGTGCAAGCAGGAATCTTGCTTATATCCTATGGAGGAAAGTTAGATTAAAAGTCTCCATCATATTTTTTCGTATATAGGCATATAATGACCGATTTTCATTCACAATTCTTTTCGTTAATATTTGATCAATTTTCAAATCAAAAAATTATTGTATTTAAGTATATAAAAACAAAAAACGTAAATGTCACGTGATGCGCCTTTCTTTTTATACTAGCGACTCGACTTTCGTCCCTAGACAAACAAAACCATCCCACGGGAACCGTACATTTTTCCGGGATGATGGGTGTAGCCTTCCTCAATAAACGGGCAGATAGCATTAGATAAATGCAAAAAGATTTTTTTCAAATCGGATTAGTAGTCCTGAGATTAGCGCGTTCAAGCAAACAAACAAATTCTGCCTCTTCATGATATAGCATATATAGATTCAAGTTTAATCTACATTAAGATTCATTATTAACTCTGTAAATCTATGATTTGATTTAATTCACCAATAATTAAGATTAGACCGCATTACATTACGTATTCATATTATGGAATAGTACCTATTCATTAATTTGGTCTAAGCCATAAACATAGAGAGTGGATTGATGTCACCTAAGTTTAAGGGATCCCCTAAGCATGGTTAGGGGGCTGTTAGGGGACAGTTTCTGTTTCACCGACAGTTAGGGGTCACCTAAATATTAAAAGGCCCCCTAAATTTAGGTGCTCGAAATATGGGCTAAAAAGACGTCAAAATTTAATTTAGGAGCTAGTTTAGGGGACGTTTAAGCTAGGGATCCCATACGTAGGTGGTAGCTTATGTGTTGTTGGTGAAATCGGGCATGAGTGTTTTTTTGTCAACCGTTAGCTAAAAATGGCTGAAAAGCGACAGAGACAAAGCAAATGTGCGGCCAGAAATCTTCTGTATTATTTGAAATACGATTAATGAAGATAGATATTTATAATCATTTTACATTCCATTATAATATTATAATTTGCAATAACATTATAATTTTTTTTCATTTCATTTATGAATTCAAAATGGGATAATAGATTTTATATTTAAATCGAGTGTGGTTGGTAACATAATATATAACTTTGTTTATAATACATAACTAATATTTTCTTAGAAAAATAACTTAATAATGAATTCAGTATTGAAGGTGAACAGCGGAGTTTAAAACGCCGGTTTTATAAAACACGCTTTTTGACCGACTTCAAAAAAATATGTGTACTCATTACCTAATTCAGCTGTTTCTTTTTGTGTTTGAGAATCTATTATTTTCCTCGTATTTTAACCGCTTTTAACATTTATTGGAATTAAATCTGTTATATATTTCTGATGAGACCCTATGATTGTAGAGATATCGTGTGTCGTAGAAGAGCTGGCGTTTTGGCATTCCTTATCGTCAAGAGGTATTAGAGATTAAGCCCCGATATAAGATAAGAACTTTAGTTTTAATAAATTAAAAATAGATTTGATAAGAAATCGACTTTGAAGGTTTAATTACATAATTAGTTATTTAGTGAAGTCAATAAAAATTATAACGACTTTAAAATAATTTAAAAGTGTTTAATGCACTCTTGGGGGGAGGGGGGAGGGGAGGGGGGTTTTTGTTTGGAGGAAGGGAAGAAAGAAAATATGGGAAAAACAAATTCTGAATATGTATATTTTAACTCAAAGAAAAGACCTTTATTTTGTTTAATACTCCCTAAATTTTATTAATGAGCCATCAAGAAATAATTATGTCGACATAATTTGTAGGTAGCGCTATTTGTATTTATGAGTAGTTTAACCTGTTATTGTGTGTATGTTTAAGTAATTTAATTTTAAATTTTGTTATTATAAGTTTTTCACTAGTTTTAGTAAATTGTAAGTATATAAGATTTTATCTATTACTAGCGGCTTACCGCCGCTTCGCTCGGGTTCGCCTCTAGAAAGGCACAAATAGATCTATCCCACGGGAACCATTATTTTTCCGGGACAAAAAAATATCTAAGGATAGGAGAAGGAAGGAAGGGATATAAGGTACCACCATGCAAAATTTCCTTTAAATCGATCTAATAGATTCGGAGATTAGCCCGTATAAATAGACAAACAGGCAAACAGACAGAGAAACAAAAAAAAATGAAAAAAAAAACTGGATTTGTTCTATTTCTCTTCTTACACCCTCCTGACTCGGTTCTTAGCATTTTTTTTCTATGAACAGACATTCGACCTCTACAGTTTTATTATAATAGGTATAGATTATTATTTTAAAGCCGGAAATAAAAACATTGCTGTGTATGAATATTAATGCTTGTACTTGAAATTGTCATAACTACCTACTACACGTTAATTTACAATCTAGGTACAATGTATTGCTGGCATTTCTTGTAAAATAAATAACCTGGTTAGAAACAGTTATAACCAAAATCTGTTTAAGTTGCATTTTGGTTTAATTTAAACTGTTTACTATAATATCTATATCTTAATTAAATAATGCAGTTCAGTAACTCTCGGGAAAGCTAAAGAAAAATGTCGAAATATACATAATACATGTAGTATGAATAATAGGGCCGTCCAATTTCATTGTATGGGATGGGATATCTTTAATAGTATATTATTATAGCATTTATAATACAATCGTATTCATATACACCTTGTAGGAATTTACAATATTGTAAAATCAGGCTGTGACTGTCTATTTCGTTTTTGAGGATAAACGTCTAAGCCGATTTCGATGTATCGTGAATACTAGCGACATTAATTGGTTTGGTCAAGTTCAAAATATAAGGAGTACTCCATATCTTCGAACATTGTAAATCGATTTTCATGATTTTTTATGAATAAAAATTATGTAAAAGAATCCGAACGAAGAATTATTTTTACTAAAAGGATTTTGAAATCGGTGTACTTTTTTAGCCATTAAGACTTCTGTAGTGTAGCCCAACGACTAAAAAGGATCCCTTATAATTTCGTCATGTCCGTCCATGAGCTATATTACCTACTGAAATTTGGTACCTAGGTGTTGGTCAAATGTAAATGGCTAGACAATTCTGTAGTCAAATTACAAAAAAATAAATAAAAATAGGGGTGGAACCATAGATATCTGAGAGGTGAAAAAAATTGAGTCCATATAAGCGTGTGGAATATTTCTGGATAGATTTTTGTAATTGAGGCACATGTTTCTAAGTGTTTTTAATCAAGTCAACATTTGCCGAGTTTGAAAATTATGGTAAAATTTAAAAAAATATAATATTTAAAAAATATAAAAGTAAACTTAAGCGAAACCTTAAAAAGAATTAGAAGTTATAAATAACTTAGACTAGATCAAAAATAAATTCGCTATGCACTTCTTAAAGGTAAGATGTGAGTATGAGAATAATTAGACAGGCGAGTTATTTACAAATTCATGTATTCATAAAGAAGATTATTTATTCTTCGTCGTCATCAAAATTGAAGCGCCTCATACCATCGAATCGGAAGCCGTACGCTGCAGCATTTTTTACATCCACCAGCGCCGGGTTGCGATGTTTAAAGAAACTGCCATGCGCATGCGCAGGTCGCGACGACCCGTTAGGGATCCCATGCGCCTGTCTCGGATAGAACGCCTCGAACTGACCGTTAGATGGCAGCACATCCTTCAACTCTCCGTCTTCGGGATCATACGGCCGGCACATAGATGCCGCTACTAGCACCAACAAACATGTCACCCGAAAAAGCTGGAACGAAAGTCACATAAGCGAGTGGTTTAGAAAAAAATAATATAACAAAAACGTTACGTACCATGACTGCTGGAGATACAAATGAAGCGTGTTTAGATATATTTTGCGCAATGACAGTCGGTCACCTTGGCGGGGAACGGAGCCTCACGCGCCTCAACCTGATGTTCAACTACGCAAGACTTTCCCTTTACGTCACTTGCACCATTAACACTGACCACGCATTGGCGAGCCGGTGCGATCAGAATGTCAAATAACGAAATAGCCAGGCCGATATCGCTATCAATTATATACCTCAAAACTATATTTTTTTAATAATACTCATTATAAAAAACTTTTCTTCATATTATATTAAATTATATAATATTTACAATTAAAAAAAAATTAATTAAGAATACTTAGGTAAATTTAAAATTGAAGAAAGCAAAATTCAAATTACATCAAATGGCTAACTTCAGAAATTGAGTAAGTTTCGGACAAGTTATGTTTTCTTTGGGATATTTTCTAGATTGGAATAATAATTTGAAAATTACAAAAAATATCAAATAACATTATTATTTATTATTATCTATTGGGCTATATTTTTAGAAGTTAATAAATTGCCTACGTTATTTATTTTGTTTATTTTTATCCATAAGCCACTAGTTACGGAACCTTAATCCCACGAATATGCTGACGTACCAAGTAAATGAACGTTTCCCAGGCGACCACCGCCGAGTTCCCCGTATTAGCTTTGTAATGCCGCATTGTTTTAATTTACTAATTTTATTAATTGTAATATTTTTCCAATCACTCTTTATTCCCACTTCGAGTTAAGACGTCGTTAGTTTTAAGATATATAATTATTGTATTAACTAACTGCTGCAAACGTAATTCACTTTATACTTAGTATCTATGTCTATGTATCAAAATACAATTAGGTGTGCAAATATTTTAGCTCGAGTCTTGTATAATAAGGTAAGAAAAATTAAAGGAATATGACTTACTCTATGAGAAACACCACATCTTACATATTTTTTTGTTTTACGAATTTGACATTTTAAATTAGGAGCTTTAAATTGATTAGCGACTGAAATTGTTTAAACAAGTCCCAGAAACCTGTTAAGTGGCCAGAGAGGCCATTAAAAATTTAGAAATTCGTAGCTTAATTATTAATAATGACCTTATTTTCTACCACTTTATACCATTGAAAGTCAGCAAGTCTATACATATAATAAAATTGTAACTAAGCCGAATCTGCACATTAAATATTTTTTGGAAAATCTTATTGAAATAGACATTATTATCGACACAGACGCCGAATCTATAGTTTTTAGAATTTTTGTCTGTCTGTTACCGTATCACAAAAAGACCACAGGAGGGATTTTGATGAAACTTGGTGTGGTGATAGCTGGTTAACCGGGTCAACATGTAGGATACTTTTTAACGCGGGAAAATATCTCATTTCTGAGAAAAAATGCAAAAACTGCATTGTAAGAGTATAGTAATATGTAAAACATAAGAATTTGCTTTTTGGTCATCTGAACGCGGGCGGAGCCGTGGGCAATGCTAGTAATCAATAAACTACAGATACCCGAGCCAATGCTGTACGATACAGCGTTCGTACTACTTAAGTTTATTGCGAACTTAGGAGAAGTATTTTTAAAAATAACGCAAATGAAATAACAAAAAAAAAACTTAATTAAACAAAGAGAAATAAGATTTTTTTTAATGAAAGCAGCAATCACTAATTCTATATTATGACACATCCCATTGAAAATAATGATAATTAACAACATTTATAGTACCTATTCTACTATGCAATATTTTGACCACAGGTTTGGCTGTTTGTAGTGGCCCTACATGCTGTGCCAGTGGTCGCGGGTTCGAGTCCCGCTGGGTGTATCCATTTGTGTGATGAGCACGAATGTTTGTACTCCAGTTATGGGTGTTTATATTAATAATATGTATGTATTTAAAGTCATGTATCTATCTGGTATCCATAACACAAGCCTTGTAGCTTACCATGCAACTAGATGGTGCTGTGTGTTAATGTCCCAAAATATTTAATATTTTTGCATAATTTATACAATTAGTCAATTACCTACTCTTAATGAATTAGTTCTCTCCCGCGGATCCGTTTCCGTTTTAAGTCCATAAAACATAAAATACGTTACTCGTGGATAGTATTTAAGGTTTCTTATAGTAAATTAATTTTTAGATACGTTTAATATTTTCATATATCGCAAGTTCGATCGATCGAAATTTCTACGTTTCAAAGAAAAAAATCTTTGAAGATGATAAGTATGGTATTATTGAAAGGAAAAAAGACTATAAAAATTAAAACCACTTTTTAATACTCTATACTAATATAAAGAGATAAAGTTTGTGAGTATGTGACGTTGTAGGGGTAATCTCTGGATCTACTGGACCGATTTAGATGAAATTTGGAAAGAAGATAGTTTGAAACCCTGGAAAGGACTAGGATACTTTTTATCCCGGAAATCATTCCTTAAAGGGGTGAAAATGGGGATGAAACTTTGTATGGGGATCAAACTAGGGAAGAACCCGAGCGAAGCGAGGGTGAGTCGCCAGTAAATAGTAATAGAGTTATGTAGGACGTTAAATAATAGACGTATGTAATTTCAAGTTGATGTATTTCTTGCTCAAGTAAGCATCCACGAAACAAAAGGTTATAAGTAATATTATATTAAATAGTATAATAGATAAAATATACATTTGCTTACCAATATTTTTACATATAAATGTCTAGATAATTTGTTGCTCAGACCAATTTACTTAAAATCTAAATTTTTAAGGTTGCATTTACTGAAAATTATTTTGTGAACAATTTATAATAATTTATTCTTATACGAGTAATATAATAGCCTAATGATAAATAATGTAACAGTGAGGTTCGATCCTGAGAACAATACTTATAACACTACAAATTACGACACCTACTTGCAATATAGCTATTGTTACCGATTGAGACAATAATACTTATACCGAACAGTCAGAAAAACAGACCGACAGAACAAAAGTGACGCAATTACATATATATTCATCATAATCTTACAAAAATATATAAAACCGAACTTCTTCTTAAATCAATTAGATTGTCACATTTCATGTAATTAAGATGAATATTTTAAATTCATTCAAAAATTCAAAATCAGTTCAAAAAATCAAAAAAACGTTACCCGTTGAAAAATTAAGCATTTAACAATTATTATCATTTCCCGGCCTATATTACGTCACTTTTGTGCGTGTTTTGTCGTCCTTATATATTCTTACTATTAAGACCGTATCACACTCAACTGTTCATAGTTCTGGATATATGTAGATATAGATAAAGTGTGGATGCTTCAAACGAACAATTAAGTGTGGGACAGCTCTTCGGCCTGTTACAACAGATAATCTATCAACATCGTGAAGGCAATAGTAACAAGGTAACTTTGTTAAATTTAAAATACCTCTAATCAACAAATTCTCTAATTAGCTAACGAGTCTAAATACATTGCAGGCCCGCTTCACTTAACACCAAACAAATAGCACACGTATAATAACAATAAATGGAATTACTTGAAACTAATGTCACTAGCGAATATAAAGCTATATAGGCTTTATGCCAATAATACATATTATATATTTTTCGAGACAATATTTTTGAACTCTCACTCATTAATATTTATGCAATATATAAGTCATTTGATTTTACAATTAATACGATGAAGCATTAGTATAATTAATTATTACACAAAAACTAGCGCTATTATTGCTGAATTAATATATCTATGTCGATGTTATTATCATTTACGCGTATTAACTAAAAGTGAATATATTAAATAGATAATTTACTTAGATACAATCTAAGGATAAAATTAAAAATAAAAAATAGTCAAAAGCAAACTATAACATAGCCACATAACTTTGATACTAATAAGCTAACCGAATTAATTCATAAAATGTCAATTTTAGTAAATAATTGTAATAAATAATTAAATCAAGTATCAAAACTTTTATTCGTTAATATATTGCGTAAAATTTTGAATTCATTACAAATACAGCTCGTCTGACGCTCGATAGAGCGCAGGAAGCCGTATTCATATATTTTTTTTGCAAATCCTGGCTTTACCGCTTTTGATAACACAATTATAAAAACTAAATTATAAGGAATGTAAGCGCAAAAATGACCCAACCCTAAACGGCTACGTTAATTATTTATGAATAACCCGACTTATATTAATAGGTGGCAACATTCAAAATTAAATTATAATATATTTAATATTTATGACGTTAAAACGTGTCAGATATATATATATATATATATATATATATATATATATATATATATATTTTGCATTTACAAATTCTGTAGGAGTTGGGTCATTTTTACACAGAAGACTTTTCGCGAGAATAATGTGAAATATAATAACGCATTTCGTTGTGTTTAAATAAAAGCGACATTAAAAAGAAATATATTTTCTTCTTTAGCTTTAATGTGGAACTTTAGCTCTTTTTACCTCTAACATAAACACGTATGAATCCTCAAATTTTGGCTTCAAATAGGTTATCTAGATATTCTTTTACCCACACATATATTATTAATGCATATAAACTCAATATAAACATGAGTTTTAAAAAACAAAATGAAAGTTTGACTATTTATGATATTAAAAAAAATACAATCATACACCAATATTAATAAAGAAATATAAAAAAAAGGCCTTGAATCGAATTAAGACATTTTTGTAAAAAAAATATGGATTGGTACAATTAATAGTACAAAGTATGTGACAGAACATGATATACATTTAATATAGGCATATTTCATCTTCTATCAATCTATAAATAATAAAATATATCACTTCGAATTAATATCAATATAATATGTTACAAAACCGTGTATCTGTCACAAACAACTATCGCACAATGTTGACTACTAAAAGTCGATAGTTTAGCAGAATATTAAGTAAAAACACACATTTTTATACTTATTAATTATAGCCTATTAAATGTAATTATATATATATATATATATATATATATATATATATATATATATATATACATACAAACTTATTA